TTCTCCATATAAGTGCTGATACATTTTTAAAACACCTTGTATACATTTCTGCTATTTTGTAATGGTTGACACAACAAAAAATTGAACGAATGTTATGGTTTTTTCAGCCACACGATAGTGGGTACTATTTAAATCCTATTCAAAGGATGTCGCACATAGAAGCACCCCCACCACTACCCGCAAAACCTTCTCAACGATTCTCTACCCCCTCTCCAACGCCGAGTCGAATGAGCTTGGATAAATCAAAGGGTTGGTATGGTTTTTTAAAGCGTCATGGCCATATTTGGATCGTCTCACGTGTCTAGAAAGGCTGAATGGTAAACAACGAGGAAAATAGTTCCCATGCAATGGCTCTCTGTCTCTGTTACGTCAGTGTAAATGTAAAAAGAGGGAAATTAGGCGGAGGACGTTAGGAGATAGGTGGTGCAACGTGTTACGAGGCCGTGGCAAAAAGTGCAGGCTGCATTAAATTGGAAGAATAAAAAGCCCTCGGTAGCCTAACTTCCCATAAACATGTGCGTGGCAAATGGCCAGCCACCGATTCTCCTGCAACCTGATGCACATTGCAATTGCAAGCCAGTCATGGACGAACTATCGTTACCATTATTTCGAGTCGTTTCAAACAGCGTACTGTAGCAGAATTAATTTCTAATTTTACTACATTGATCCAATTAATTTCTCATACGAGATATACACGTTAACACACCGTGGAAATCATTTAGAATATGAGTAAGAACAGAGTCCAGTGCAGTGTTTTTATAAAGACATCGGTGAAACAAAGAAAGAATAATTTCTCAAAGAGATTACTTATCTTAGACACACCGACACTTACGTTGATTAGAGTTTATCAGAATTTATAATCGCGAACAGAAGAGGAAGCCCTGTGATGGAATGAGTTCTTGCTTCTACCTGAGACTGAGCAAACAGCTCATGGGTGGTTTGGTTACTCGTTTGGTAGACGAAGTGTGCGACATAATAGTGAGGATGAAACGGGGACTTGTACGGTGTTTTTACATCCGACCACCTGACCCGCCAGGTACAAGAACCTCTTACCAAGCGAATTCCACGTGATTTAATTCACAGCTGTGTACACTTTAAGTGTAAACAGCTGGCTCATCGGATTTCCCAGTGAAACGCTTGACGCACATTTCTTCCTAAATTGGAAACGACACCCAACAAGACAGAAACGCGAACCTGAAATACACTATGATATATTTTTAAGCTCCGAGGAGACTGCGTGCCCCATGCTGAGGGACCAACGGATGGCCGTGCTTTGTGGCTTATCCAGCTGGTCTTTCCGGTTAAATGCCAGTCGGTGCAGTGATTTCGCGCAGTTCGGTTCGTTTGCAGTTCCTCTCTCAAATACTTCTCAAATCGTCCTCTTTTTTCATAAATGGTCCAGATTAAAGATCTGTTCAACGAGTACTCTTTGATTTACACGAGAAGGTTTCAATTATACTTAGATGGATTAATACGTCAATTATATCTAGCGGTACTGTGTTCGATTTTCCATTACTAAATTTTATAAAAAAAAATAAGCAATTGTAAAATTGTATTTCCAAGAAGCTGCTCGTCTCTTCTGGTACTGTTTACAATGTTCAGAATTATCACGTTGTTTTCCTCCTGCGCTATTTTCGTGCCCGGCGTTCCAAATTAAACGCGACGCGGAGAGTCTCGCTTTTATAATAAAAAATTCGTTCGAATCGTAATCATGAATAGAGGAAGACCCGACGACGACATTTTCATGCACATTCTTCTGCTAAACGCGTGAAAAATTGCAACAAGTTTGTGGTCTCAGTGTGAAAAACGTGAAATAAAAACGAGTCTTGCGAAAATGACGACTATTATAGGGGACTCAAAGAGAAACGTGTCTCTAAATACTGCAACTCGCCGTCAGGCGAGCCTCTCAGAGTGTTTGACTCAGGCAGCCCTCACTCAAGCTCGTCTGAACTTAGCAAGTTAGTGAAACACTGACCTAAACTATACTGAAATACGTGTACCTTCAAAGTGCACTGCATTTTGTGAATGAAATTCAACTTGTTCTGAATCATTGGCAGATTTCTAAGTGCTTGATGTATTGTTTAATGTGTACTGTGATGTTTACAGAGAGATCTCCTGAGAAGAAATCAGCAACACTGCCTCACTCTCTCAGTAATACTTCTTTGTCATCTGAAAGAGCCACGAGACCATTGCCACCACCACCTGAGAGACAATCCTACATAGACAAGTCTTGGTTTCACAATGTTACCAGGCAACAATCAACAAATCTTATCAAAGAACGTGAGTACAAGAATAGACTTGGTTCTATGAATGTAACCAGAGACATGTTCCATAGTCTGGTTATATACCGATTGTGGATTGATTTGCTATGTTTAGAAAGTACTTACGGCAACCCTCAAGATGGATATTTTCTTCTGAGACCATCCTCTACAAATGTGAACAATCCTCTGGTTCTGGTCCTCTGGTACAAGGACAGAGTGTGCAATGTTCCAGTCAGAAAGAGGCCTGACAATAGGTAAAGAACTTTCATACTTCAACATCCTTTGTCTGTACATATCTCTATCAGATACTGGACTTATCCTGCAAAAAGGAAAGATACATCTAATTGAAATTGCTTAGAAATAATTTTGAATATTTTTTAAACTGAAAAATTCTGTTCCAAGAATTTTTTTCTGAGAGAAGAACGAAAGGTTTGATTGATAAAAATGAAAGAAAATTGAGGAATATTTATTTTGCCTATAGGTATGCATTAGGCTCGGCAAAAGCGAACGAACAGTCGTTCACTAATGTTGAAGAAATCGTGATGTTCCACAAAAGGGAGGAATTAGTGCTCCATAGCGGAGGAGTGAAAATAGGAAGCACGAAATTGACCGATTCACCGCCAAAATAAGTTTCTAAAAGCATGAAACCAACCAGCTTGTGCAACCCGAAAACACTGCCTGGCCGGGAATTTCGAAAGAGACTGAATCTCTGACGATGACGTGCATGTATTTATTCGACAAGTGCCTTTTCGTACCCGCGAGACGTTGAAACTTCACATTTTGTATATTTTTTATAAGGCTCTGATGCATTTACACGAACTATCGTACACACTTATGGAAACGTTTAGATGCGTGGAAAGATGGATCTCTCGCGAAGTGATTTTTACGCGCGTATATTTTTAATACGAACGTTTACAAATGGTATTTTTGCTAATATTAAGAATGTTCAAATTTCGAAAGTCTTGATATACATATATACATACATGTATAACGAATGTTACTACTGTAATGAAAAGAATAGTCACTTTATGCACATATCAGTAATTAATGATTTTGTACGTGTACTCGTTGTTTGTAAGTTGTTCGCTTTTTTTCTTTTTTATTATTTAGAAAGAAATTCAAGAATGTGAAATTACGAAAATTGAGTGATACTGTAAACTACGAATTTGTAAATAGGATAATTTCGTTCGAAGATTATATGCCAGGTAGAATTTAGTATCAAGGATCTTTTGTATCGCATTTTATTTTGATTTATTATGGTTCTACGTGTAAGAAAATAAATTTTATTAGACCCAATATACAATAACCAAGCTTTACCCCTATTTTCTACACAAAAGAACAACTCATTTGGTTATAGAAACGTGTTATGTTAATAAGAATAATATAAAAAACACCAAGATGACTTGGTGTAATTTATATGCACATTATCATGAAGAAAATATTGAAATAAGAAAGAAAAATATTAATGGATGTACATTTCAAGATTATCTAAAAGTCGCTATTTGATATTAATTGATTTAAGGAATTACAGTGTTAAGATACCTCAAGGTCAAATTCAATGGTGCTTTACAATAGTCAACCTTACTATAATAATGACACTTGATTAGATTTAACTACTACTAATTACTTAATAGACTATTGTAAACATTGCGGCTAAAAGTGTGCTAACTTCAAGTGCTATGTTTCAAGAAAATATAAATGTACTTAAGTATATACTTCCAAAATATATCGATGCACAGATTAATATGGGTCACCCTGTACATTGCAATCGGTTCGTTTTTATTTTTCCATGTTACGGAAAGAAATAAAAAAACATTGTTTTGAAAAAAGTTTTTCCTTCAAAAAGGTACTTTTTCGTCTGAATTATTAAAAATTTTCTATCGAAATCTTTAGCCGAAAATGAAAAAGCAATCGTGCGTGCGCAGAATCAATTAATCTTTCATATGCAATCTACACGGTTTCCCGTTTATCAGTACGGACGCCGCGATTGAAAGTAACGAATACGAATTGGTAAGTCAACAATTTACTCGACAGCAATTATCTCGAACTACGTTCGACGATTGATAACGATAACACCAATTAAGTAAACAGTCTAACGATCGAGTTTTCAACTTTCCAGATCTACAAGCAGTTTTATATTAGGCGGTTGTAAGTGATCTTCGATCGTGAGAATTTTGTTCGTCGATCACAGCAATGATAGGGATCAATGCGATATAATATAGTGTGAAGTTTACGACGTACGATATACTTAATATTCCCGATATCAACCTTGATAGACGGTGGATTTACGCGGTGAACCTGTGTGCGCGTGAACTTTGAACCAGTTACTCAACGACAGCAACACAATTAAGAGGAGCATAACAGAAGACGTTTCGCGCATCCGATATTCCTCGATAACACGGTATACACGACATTGAATCACGATTCATCCTAAGTGTGTATATTATTCATAAAAAAACGTTCGATTTATTTCACAATTACCTAATCTAATCACCCGTGATAGAAACAGTGTCATTACACGTAGAAGCTAGATGCGTTATCGCAATTAATCGCACCGATGATAATTTTCTAGCGAAAACCGAACACACACTTATTGCGCGATGAAATGTGCCACGTATATACATTTCGTACTATCTTTTCTACAATGAGAACACGAAATTCGTCCTTGTATTATCGAACTCTCTGACGAGCCAAAGCATATGTTATCAAAGATCGAGGATTGAGAACACGATTCGAGTGGTGTGTGTTTGCGCGGGAATCCGCGTTTACTAAATCCATCTTGTTGGTAAAGAATTATGGATTTTAAAAATTCCCTAGACTCGGTGGGGCTAGTTATTTTTGTAACATCGTGTTGCTGTCGAAGATCGGGCAATACCGTGGGAGGATGTAGTAACGAAACACACGACGGGTTTGTGCGCACCGCCCCGTTAACTGCTCGTAACTGAACGCCAATTGAGAGGTCCATTTAGGTTGTCACTTAAAGCTTTTGAAGCGGTATCTCGCGGATCCGGGGCGTTGGAACGAAAATGATACTGGTCCCGTGAAAATCGCGACCCGGGGACAGTTCCGTTTTGCTCCGTTGTCTCCGCAGACAGTGCGTTGATAAAAACAACGCTGACATGAGTCAGTTGTTGCAGAAGCGTAATTCCGAGCGGGAATAATGGTGCGTTAGATAAGTGTCAGTCGCATGAAATATCGTTCCCGGGAGAAATGGAAGATGAACAGCCGGCGAGGGAGGCGAGCAAAATATGCGGTGTGTGTGGCGATCGCGCGCTCGGCTACAATTTCAACGCGGTGTCGTGCGAAAGCTGCAAGGCTTTCTTTCGACGGAATGCTTTGAAAAACAAGGTGACTAACCCGAAAGTCCCACATCTACTTGCGTTTCATTCCTGACAATCGTTCGCATGGATTCAGAACTTTATTCTTTGACCAGCAATTTAGATATTGGATGTTTGATATACTGTTCTTATGTGCATTACAAGTTACGTCTGGTTACTACGTTTGTTTTTTTTTTCTTTTTCATTCAAGTTAAATATCATGATAGGGAAAGGTGGCGTCACTGTAGATACCAAATTTGAATTGAATTAAGTAATGACAGTAAAGTGATGGGACAACAGAAAAGATGTCAGTGTTTGTAGTCTTTCTTGAATTGCTTGTTAAGTAATAAAAGATGCTGTTGCTTGGTTGAAATTATTTCATTAGGGATTTTCATTGCATTTTTGCAGGATTTTAGGTGTCCTTTCACCGAGAATTGTAACATCACACCAGTCACCAGACGTTTCTGTCAAAAATGTCGTTTAGACAAGTGCTTCAGTATAGGAATGAGGAAAGAACATATTATGTCTGAAGAGGACAAGGTACTGAAGAGACAAAAGATAGAACAGAATCGTGCAAAAAAAAGGCCAACACTGGACGTTTCAAAGCCATCAAAAGTTAAGAAAGGTTCCATAGATGATTGCAACTTTGATGACACTTCTATGTCTGTTAATTCAGTTGCATCAACTACATCAGATACATGCTTTTGGGAGTCTGATAGGAAGTATATAGACTTAGATGCAAATAGACAAAACGTAACAGAAAGCTTCAGCCCAGTGACAGCTGCAAGTGTTCCAAGTCCTTCTAGTCCACCAGAAAATGGAGCTATAAGTGGGTCCAAGACATTAGATATGATGAAAGACTCTTCCCACAATTCAAATTCCAATTTTGAAAGTTACGATCATGCTTCACCACCACATGAAGAGAGTGAAACTGATGTAGAAAGAATAGGAATTGATTCAAATTCTCCCCTACAAAATCAAGAAAGGTTTGACAAAGTTAAACCTCTCTCTCATAGTTTAGAAAAGGACAAAAAGTCAGCAATAAGTTCCAGGAAATTTGAGCAAAATATGTTAGACTTAAATTCTGAGTTTACTTCTGCCAACAATGATTCTTTGAAATATTCTCCTGAATTTGATAATGCATCTTGTTACAATAAGTTTGATTGTAGTCCTGTACAAAACTCCCAGTTTATTAATCACACATCACACTATAAGAAAACAAATATGGATGTGAACTCAGGAATCCATATGGGTATACAGATTTGTTCAGAGGAACCAGCAGCTAGTCAGAAACAGAGCAAGGAAATACCTCCAAGAGAGGATAATTTAGTCAACAGTAAGCTCACCGAAGATTCCACTAGGATCACAAAGCTTGTTAATAATTCGAATTTTATTACGAAAGTATTCCAAAACGAGGAATTACTTTTAAAGATCATGACAGATCCTGTTGTTATTAGTAAATTAGAGGCAGATCCTCAAATGTCGCAATTTTTCAAAGAAAACGGAGTCACTGCGGAGAAAGAGGTAACATCCGAAAAGGATGTAAATGTACCTTTTAAAGATGATGGAAAATTTATTAATAATTCGAATCGCCTGTTTAAATCGACATTCAAAGTTAAACAGAAACAAGTAGAGAATCCAATTTTGACCGATTTAATAACGAACTCCTGTCAGGAAGAATGCGTAAAACAACGCAATGAACCGAGTAGTAGTAACGATTGGAATAGAAGTATATCAGATGTAACAACAGATGTACTTCAAGATGTACAAAGGTACAGATGAAATTCACGTTTATTTAGGGTCTAAAAAATCAACATTATACAGCATGCCAAACTATGGATTACATTTCAGAGTACCAATTGCTGCAAATTCCATTGAGTCTATTCTTTGTGAGGCAATTAAATTAGAGTTTTCAGCATATTCTGCTCTTGGTGGTATGGAGACCAGAAGGGTATTGAATGATGCTGAAAGAGCAAAGTTAAATGAATTAATAGTAGCTAACAAAGCATTATTAGCTCCTTTAGATGAGGATATAACAAATTTAATAGGAGAAGATTGTAAATTTAAGGTACTATTTTGTTTTTGTAATGTAAAAAAATACGTTCCAGGTGGTTACATTTACTAAAATTAGTTATTCATTATTTCAGAATAATTTCAGTCGATCAGACCCGGCGCTGTTAGATGTTATAAATCTTACTGCCATTGCCATAAGACGTTTAATTAAAATGGCGAAAAAGATAAATGCCTTCAAGAATATGTGTCAAGAGGATCAGATAGCTCTTTTAAAAGGAGGCTGCACGGAAATGATGATTTTAAGATCAGCGCTCAATTACGACGTCGAGAAGGATATGTGGTGGATACCACATAGTCAGGAGAGTATGTCCAATATAAAAGTGGACGTTTTAAAGGAAGTGAAAGGAAATCTTTATGCAGAACATACAAGATTTATTAGGAGTTTCGATCCCAGATGGAGGGATGAGAATATTATTTTAATTTTAAGTGCAATTGCTCTGTTCACACCGGACAGGCCGAAAGTGGTGCATAACGATGTGATTAAATTGGAGCAAGTAAGTCTGATACTTTGTTAAAAATAATGTTAAGAAAGTATATGTATTCTAATAATGAATTTCTTTTATAGAATTCTTATTATTACTTGCTCAGACGTTATCTGGAAAGTGTGTACCCTGGATGTGAAGCCAAATCCATGTTTTTGAAATTAATTCAAAAGATTTCTGATCTTCATAGATTAAACAATGAAGTGGTTGGAGTTTATCTTAATTTAAATCCATCGAGGGTAGAACCACTACTTATAGAGATATTTGACTTGAAACATTGATCGAACGTGTTCGTAGCGAGACGAAGGATAAATACAAAACGTTTCCGATTAGTATTCGAATAGCGAAAGTATAGAACTTCGTCACAAGTTCGCGTCAATGATCGCATGTTTATATTATAAATAATGTATAGCAATAATATTTTAAATCTTTAAAAAAATTCATGAATTATATGAAAGTAGAATTCTGAATTGGGAATACACACTCGAATATGTAAATGTATATAGAATGTAATATTATATGAACGATACCATAGACAAGAGTTTATTCGTATCAAAATTTATGTCTATATAGAGTTATATGAAAATAATATCTACGTATATCGATATATAGTTAATTCCTGTTTGGGATATAAAAAAAGTTTATTGTAATTAAAGAAGCCCTTTGCTTGTAAAATATCAACATCTCTATTAATTGTCGATCCGTTGAATTTCATGACAAGTAGAGATTATATATAGTTCTAAACGAACGTAAAAGTATTTCGTCATGTTGCATCACTCTGTAGAGGATACACACGCGTATATATATATATTATATTAGCATAATGATGATTGTTGAGAACGTTATGTATATTTTGACGAGCGTACCTTAAATTGTTAAATATAGAAAGAATATTTGTTACACTGATACCAAGTTCTATGTTCATGTTTAACGGGTTAATATATGTAGAAAAAAAAATAAGTGGAAAATATTTCTTTATTTTAGAAAAAAATAAAAAATTACGTTGTGATAAACATGAATTCAGTGCTTGGTGCTTAAAAAGAATGTGAGAAAACTTCAATCCAAGCATGATGAATGCAAGATATGACCTGAGTAATGTGCATTCGCATTACAAACGTTAATTATGTACACAATAAATTGTGATATCGTGTCAAAATATATTTTTCAAATACTTGTTATATTTGACTTTTAAACATTATTATTTCACTCCTATTACAATTATCTCGACAATTTTTCTTATTTAATAAATGATAAATAACTGAAAGTATAAGTACCTCTAATTAAATCAGTCATCATAATCATTTGGAAATGTATAACCAAGCATATGCAGGGTTATCATTATCAACAGGCTGGTAAATGCGATAAAAAATGTAAAACTGATACAAATAAGAAACAAATATCCGACTGTCCTAAGAACGAATGTAAATGTGCAGATTAACCAATCCCAAATTGTTTTCAGTATCATTCTTTCCTACCACTCTTACGATTTATCAAGAAAAGATTGAACGATCGATGTTTTAGCATTCGATACAGCAACGTTAGCGACCAAATTATTAACTGATGTCAGATTAAACGATAAAGAATGTCAATTGTTATATAAATTAAGTGATAGGTTTATTGTTTTAAATTTCTGTATATTTGCTCCTGTAAAATATATTTCATCAAAAAATTGTACATAATACGCGCATTAAATACAATAGTTATTGCCATTTGTATCTTTAATTTCTCTAATCCTTCTTTACGTCGCTGCAAGGAACAAATACTACATTCGACTCTGTCGAATCTTCTAGCGGTTTCACGTAATTCTCGCGTTTGTAGCGATAGAATACTTCCATGTTCTTTTCGTAGGGTTTCGTAAACACCCAATTGATTTGTTCAGTGGCAAGGTAACAGGCGCCCAACGCAGCCGATACTGTCAAACGGATCATACTTAATTCATCCACAGCTTTAGACTCGTGAATTTCATCGAGGAAAGCGTTTTTCATTAAATCCCACGATTTCCAAACGGATCCAACGCAGACAACCTTTAATCCACCATGAGCTAACTTAAGTTCCTGTAGAACAACATTTCGTATAATTAGATATTGAAATTCATACTTTGCTTTATAAACAGAAACAAATGGTTTACATTATGGGCCTTCTTCGCAAGAGCTATGATATGTTTTGCAAGCATTCTCCCATTTTCCTTAAGAAGATGCAAACAAAGGGGATCTTTCTTTTCACAGCCTATCACAATCTCCTTCGTGAACTTAGCGAAAGTGGTTTTATTAAAGTTCTTATAAAAATGTGGCAACATATCATCCGTGCAAGTTGCATTGAAATAATGCCTCATAGCTGGCCACACGTAATTTATGGGTTTAGGTGATTGTGCCAAATCATCGAGATGATCGAACACGTATTTACAAGCTCTAACAGCGATCCACATGGCTAGAAATTCATATTCGTACAAATTATGCAGGATGAATAATAAATAGTACTCGTGATTCTTGTATATTATAGTCTCGGCTGAATATATTGGTCATTCAAGGCCATTACCCCCACTATCCTAAATTACATCCGCTACTCCCACCACCTACCACTGCCTTCGTCTCCCATAAAATGTCCCCATCCGCCGCACCTTGCAATTGTTCTATCAGGCTGGATCAACAACCCGTTGCTACCAGTACCGGCAATTAAAACAATTCCACCAGTATCTAAAGCAGTTTTGAGGCTACCCATAGTATCTGAACTGACGAAAATGGCCTTAGCAGCATTTGGATATTTCTCTTGTATCATTTCCAAAAACCTGATTAGATATTGAAATAAAGTTATTCATTTAATTCCAGTAACGATAAGAACGATTACTTTTCATAGAATTTTACAGGCAATTTTGTCATCGATACAGTTAACTATTTAATAACTACCAAGCTATCTAAAGGAATGGACTCGGACATCCCTATCGACTGTTTCCCTCTTTCCACCATAGCATTGATTCTGGCGGTTGTTTCTTCCATTCCTATATACTATGCAGAAAAATAACTTGTTTGTCATTTTATTCTTGTTGCTTTTACAAGAACAGAAGAGATGAAAATGGTGATTAAAATGTTAGATTATTTAATTACCCAGTGATTGGTACTCGGCCCTTTAATTTCCGTTAATGGCGTCCCTTGTCCATCGATGATAAATAGCGTAGAACATGTCGCGCCTCTGGGGATTATTAAATTCATCATGTTAACGTGTTAATTCGTTATTCGATAGTTGGCTGAGTCTATGACCCGTTTTCCATCATTTCGTTATTTTCTAACGCAATAAATCGATCGTGCACATGAAACTATAGTGGGTGTCCGGTGAGGTATTCAACAAACTTCGCCCACATGTTCAACAGGTTTTTCTGAATAAAAAATATCACACCTCACCGGACACCCTGTATATGGAGGTTAGAAGTAGAAAGTATGCAGGCCCTGTTTGAATCAGTTGAGTTAATCCAGGCCCTGTTTGAATCAGTTGAGTTAATCAGGCCCTGTTTGAATCAGTTAAGTTAATCATAGTCGATGTAGACTGTCAATTGCTTTCGCGAACGTTCAGGCTACATCGTGAAGCGAGTAGACTGAAATTGCATACGTCACAATATCGAATATTTCGAATTATCGACGATATATCGACAAAAATATATCGAGTTTTATCGTTGCTGTTATATTCGTATGTTAACTCTAATCAAATAATGCAATATTTTATTTCAGCAGATCTCTAATTTTATTTCATTCTTGGTAATATGATAACGTATCGGGTAAAGTGAATCTGCAAACAATTATAGTACAAAAGTTCAATGGTAAATACACACCAGCTGATAACTGTGCTTCTACAGTATGTCCGGTTTATCTCAGAACCAGGAAATATGTACATATCTCGAAAACTACGAATGATACCAAAAAATGTTTCAGACGAAAGTTGTAGGGTATAAAGGGCGACATACTGTTCTGACATATTTTTAACCTTGCAATAATCTTGAAAAACCCTGTAAAAAAGTTTTAAAATGAAAACATATATTTGTGATTATGTAATCTTGTAAGCTGACATCGAGACGTTTTCAAAACAAAAAATAGTAAAACATCTGTTTTTAGACAAAAAGTCTTCGTTATCTGTGTTTACTTATTTCAATAAATATCGATAAGTGTATATTTTTTCCATTTTTCCGTTTGAATTACAAGGAAGTTTGATAAGGAATATATCCACGCCTTACGATCGTTAAGTATCGATCACACTATCGATTGCTCTCCTTCTTTAGAGTGTCTCTCAAGATTTGCAAAAACGTTTGACAAATTTACCTAACATCGAATTATTTTGTTAGAAATGTACTAAAATATATTGTATTCTACCATTAGAGTCATTTTTCAAAGAATTAAACTTCGAAATTAATAACGAAGCGAGAGGAAAAGAAAAACTTTCATTACCTTTTTCCTAGTGACAAATAATTGGTAAATTCTGAGCACTTTTTCAAAACTTGATATTACACAATATGGTAGCAATTACGTGATTAGAGAAATATTTTTTACGTAATTCTGAAATATGTTGTAAATTCAACACGCATATAATCAAAATCGATGTATATTTTTATATAAAAGTCGAGCGGGACGTGCTGTTTTCGTAAAAAAAAATGATGGATTCTTTATTAGCTACAGCTGTGTCTGCACGAGGGGATTGTTTAAATCGCAAATGTCAACAAGTTTTATAATTCGAGAGAAGTTTTTGACAAAATGATAAAAAAAAATTTTTTATTACTCACCCTTCGATACCGCCGATCCTGATTTCCTCAGGATGTTCCGGTAATATCACTTTAGACATTACGAGCTCGTCTTCTGACGAATCTCTCCTTGGTCCCTGCTTTCTTAACTCTCTACGAAGTTCGTACTCATCGATACGTCTTTTCCTCTTCCCCCTTCCTTTCCTTCCTGACATTTTTGAATCAAATTTCAATTTCAATTTTGAATTTTTTCGATGTCAAAAGGATCCAGGAATATAGGGATGGGATTGAAACAGGTACATGTCTGATAACGTAGAAGTGAAAAAACTAATTTAAACATTGTATCGATTCTTCTATCGTACAAAAGAACAATTTAAAACAAGAAGAAATATCACGAAACAATATCCTATTTCGTAAAAAAAAATTCCAAACGTTAATTTTTAAAATTGACAGATATTACAAGAATTGAATTAAAAAGGTACAACGACATGGGTGACCAAACATGTGTAACAAACTATTAAGTTCTTTTCGTATTCGTGTTAACTTACTACAAGGATTCAAAGATACGTGAAGTGCGACGTAATTATATCCTACTCAATTATGAATAAAATTTGTGGAAAGCAGTCCACGAAATTTGGTGCAAAAATTCCGGAGAAATCACGGAGTGACATGTAACAGTCGGAAATGCCGCGACTGCTACGATTACTAGTGAATGTTTACGTATCACTATACAACAGCTTTATCACACGAAGTTGTCTTCGTTACTGCCGTTGCTTTGCCCACGTTGCTTGCCACCAAAATGGTATATCCACCTGGACAAATTACGGCGCAATGTCAGGAAAAAGGTGGGGATTCAACAGCGTAGCGTCAACTGAGGAACTAGCAGATAGTCTACAGTCTACGAGATGCCGCCAATTTATACTACTCTGACATCTATGAACAACTTCCTGTACTATGATGGTAAATTTATCTTACCAATCAATATTTTCTAAAACAAAAAACGATAAATTTCTAATTAAAGTATTCTATTCCTTCTTTTTCTATCGTAATTTTCATTAATAGTATTCTATTGGTAAATAATATTAGAAATTAGATTAGCAATTGCATTGTCAAAGGTTCGAATCATGCGGGAAAATTCTACCAATGACATGCTCTGCTCGAAGCGCTATCTCGTGATATTCCATGCAACTATTGGATTCAAAATACTCGTTTGAGTTCAGCATCTAGATAAAAGTCCGGCAAGTGTCGTGACCTATGGTTGCGACACCGTGGGAGCCGCGCGGTGGCGACCGCACTCTCGACTTCGGCAGCGCGCAGAGCTATTAAGCGAGTTTCGCATCGAAACGCGAGTCAGAAGGTGCCCATATGTATCTGGTCCGGTGCGTCGCCGTCGGCCATTGTCTCTGACATGGAAGCCCATCAAAATGGCAGAGGTCGTGCAGATGTTTTTGTTCCTATATAAATCGAAGTACCGTCGGAAAGGGCAGTGCCGTGAGGTGGTACGGGATCAGTGCGGTGTAATTGCGGTGCCGTGGCCGATACTGTGGGCGGCGCTGATCTGCTGGGTGGTGCACGTAACCGCGGCCGCCTCCTCCTCCTCGTCGTCGCTGACGACGGATACGACCTGCGACACGGACAGTTGCGTCAACGGGGACTGTGTCAATGGCACCTGCGTGTGCCACGAGGGTTGGCAGGGCTCGAAGTGCCAATTCTGTGGCGGAAAAGTCAGGTGAGCGAGACAGCGAATGTGTGCGCGAGCATGTCATTCTTTGCCTCTCCGGCCTTCGTGGGCCTCTCTTCTCACCGCGAATCTGATTCTATTGTATGTACGAGCAACGAAACGGTGCGTATCCTGCACGAGAGAGAGAGAGAGAGAGAGAGCGTCGCCGAAATTACACTATACGGCCCTGAGGAGATGCTAACGGGTTAACTGTACATTCCGTTGAGCGTGTGCAACGGTATTGACGACGACTTTTTAGTAGGTCGACTCGTTTCTCTTAGACTTTGATCGTCTTTCTCTGCTTTCTCATTCCCTTCCGTCGCGACACGTAAATAAACGAAACGAAGAGAGCACCGAACGTGCGTATGCGCGGCTTGCTCGGATTTAATTGCTCTCTGCCTCGTGTGTGCGCGTCCCTGGGGGCCCTTTACAAGAGGGAGGGGGAATGGGTCGGTCATTGTCTGCACGGTTGACAGTGAACAGCCACGAAGCGGTAATCGGAACACTGGCGAATCTAACGGTGAACAGTGACCGCGGAAATCGGCCGGGTTAGCTCACTGGTCGTCTCGCCGTGCGTTTCGAGACTCATAGTCGACGGGGATTAGATTTTGCCGTCGATCGATCGACGGCTTTAAACTTGACAGGGAAACTACGGTTTCCGCCACTGTCAAGGCTGATTTACTTTTCACCCGTCATGTACAGGCCACGGAACTTGGTTGGAAACGTTAAATTCTGCAACCGGTGCTTCTTGTGTTATGTTTATTCCAGAACCGCGCGTAGGCACTTGAGAACAGTCGGCATCACCGGTGCGTTGAGCAATTGCGGTGAAATCCGATGCGAACGTCGCAGCGAACTCTTTCTTCGTCGCGTTTCGTGTTTTGACTCCTGTCTAGTGAGAGGTACAATATACGAGAAGTCGCTAACCGTGTCGTGACTAATCAAGCGTTCGTTATGTTTCTACCGATACGTATTACGCATACGTATCATTCAGATTAATTTGTTTCCTCCGTGTTTCTTTCTACGCATCATATTTCGCATTTTACGCATTACACTCTTCGCGCAGAATTTTCACCGTGACGTCATATCTGTTAGCAGTTGAGACTCGCTCTGCATGAGATAAGCGGAGAACAACAACGTAGTTTCGTCTTCTCGAATTTTCCTGAACATTGGACGAAGCTGTTCGTACGAAATTTTTATTTTGTTATTCGAATCGAGTTTCAGGAAAGAATTCGCAAAGTACCCGCCTACGTGTGCTCGATCGTACTTCACAATGAACACCATACGTTTACTCGCGTGCACATATGTATAGGCACGCACACACATATATACGTACTGAACGTTGGCACTCGTGAAAAGTTCGAAGTCTCGTGTAGCGGCGTTTCAATGACGCCGATTGATCCACGCAAAGATCTTCCTTACAATCACCGGCTTAACCTGGATTCGACGAGAGGCACGCGGTTTCAAAATTTCATCATGTACTCGTGAATAATTGGCGCTGAAAATAACCGCGCCTCCGGGGCCGCGTAAACGCGAGTCTCCACGGGCACGAAACAAAACAACATAACTGAAAGAGAAGAAAGGGGGCGTTCTTAGGCCGCGAAAACACATCCGTGCACGCTCGACGCATCGTGTACGCCTACTTGTTCATTACTCCATGCTTGTCACGGATTAACGAGAGGAAAAAGATTTCAACGATACACAATGTCGTGCCTTGCAGAACAATGTATGTACTATCATTCTTATTCTCGTAAACGCGATTGTTGTGACACGTGTGTTGAACAATTCATCGATTCGAATTTATCGCATGGGAACGATTAGAGCTATCCCGCGTGTTATTTTTATGTGGCAGTTGTCGCTATACAGAGTGTTTCGCGCAACTCTTACACGCCCTCTTTCAAGAGAGCGAAAAACATTTTTCTCGGTCGCGTGGGACACCCAGTATACGCAGTGAAACAAGACGAAGCATACACGGTGCAAAGATCGGTTTTTTGAAACGCGTGCAGCTAAACTATTCGCATAACGTAGCTCATCTGAAATGTAAACAAAATTCGGTGCGATGGTCAATGAGCGGTGACGCGATAATGTTGGTTCGTTAGTTATTACGTCCTCTCCATAGTGAATCATTCTGGCTTGAGTCGCGTGCTAATTATGAGGTGCCCCCCGGAACACGTGTTTTTGCTTGCTCGCGTTTCACACCTGTCCAGCCGATCGAGTTCGTTATTGAACAGTCCAAAGCACGGTCGAAGTGAATATGATTTTCTCCGTATTTGATTATCAACTCTCATTTCACTCTACGCAGTATCTAGATCCACGTGTTGGTTTATGGCGTGCCGCGTAGCTCGGTCGGCTTTATGGTTTCTAGATGGCCGCGTTCGATTGCTACGATCGACGATTATCCAGTGC